ATATGGACCGATATAGACGTCTGAAACTGTCAAAACCTGTATCAGAGCTTCTCCTGGACGCCTCAGGTGGAAGGACAGATGACGTATGTTGGAACTGACAGCATTTTTTCTTTCTCATTTCAAAGACTTCCCAGAGATATTTACAAGGCTTCTGTCCAAACAAAATGACAGCGAGAGGTTGGTATGGAAATGCATGTATTAAGAAACAGTTTGACACAATTTAAAAAGATGGTGCTAAGACAGATCAAAGCACTAACAAATACTTTTTCTGTTTTCCTTTCAAGTTTTTTAATCTTACCTAGGGCAGCTGTGGCTCGTACCATGACCGTGTGTTAAGTGGATCATTTATATAGAAAATTGTAAAGCCATTTGTCTGTCTTCTTATAGAATAAAATTTAAAATCCTTATTTTAACACACACGGCCATAAATGGCCATCCATCCATGTTCTTTCCCTGATACATTTGTGAGATCCTTCTGCAGGTGCTAAGTACACAGAAGGATGGCTGTCCTGTTGGAGAAAGCATAGCCTTGGTTGTTCAGCAGGGACTTCAGGCAAAGTGGAGTTAAATGTCTTGCCCAAGGACACATCAGACATCAATGGGAGTTGGTGGAGAAGGTGTCGTGTGGGTTAGAACGCACAACCTTCAAGCTCAAAGGCTAATTCTCTGCCAAGTGAGCCACTGCCGCCCCACTTCCAAAACATCTTAGTGTCATATCAAGCAAGTGTCAAAGAAAAACACAGTCAGTGGCATTTGGAGCATTTAGCTACCAAGCTACACTGAATAATAAGGACACACCACTTTTTTCAAATCCGATACAAGTACCTCAATTTGAGTACTTGTTGATACCGAATACTGACACAAGTACTGCTTTGTGTTATCCCTTGGAACTCATAAAACTAATACAACTTAAGTTTTAAATGTTTTATATCTCATTTCAACCATAAGAAAATGCTTTAACAATTAAACATTTAATCAATTGTTTTGAAAGTCAACAATAAGAGCCACTGTCATATTCCACTCAAATTCTATGTTGTAGAGTTTGTTTGTTTTTGTGCTCCGGTGCTAGCTGTACTCTGCGTGGTGGGGAGTTTTGATCAAGTTGCTGGATTTATATGTATTTGTTTTGGACCCACCTCGGGAAAGTTTTGCCTTTGTCACTCGTTTACTTAAAAAAAACCTGCTAAACGGCCGAGATCCTGTCTGCTCACCGCTATGTTAGCGGCTATAAGCTAAACTGCTCACTGCCGACTTTGGGGGATCACGTGCTGCACTGCTACCTGCTGTCGTGGTGTTAACATAAATTTAATATGTGGATTCTGGTTGGCCGCCTTTGGGTCCTTTGGTATAAGTACGAGTATGAGTACAAGCCTATCAACCTATCGGGTCCTATTGTTTGCTTCATGGCGTGATTGTGGGACCCCTGAACCCGGCCTCCTCCATCAACACCTGTGGACTGTCCTCCCTGGCCGGAACTCGTGGACTGCTCCCCCCAATAAATATTTATCAACATTCATCCATCTTGGTCAACTGTCTCTTATGGACCAATGGTTCTATGTGTTTTTATTATTGTATTTATTGTGTTTGAACCAGTGGGGGCAGGTCCCGGCTCCAAAAGTTCCATGAGCATGTATGCTGACATGTTTGCAACCTCACCACGGGCTGGTGGGGGTGGACCCGGGAATAAAAATGTCCCAATTACTTTGTACGGCGTCTGCTTTCCTCTCAATAACATTACAGGATGGTCCAAAAGTCAGCTCTTGGTTCCATATGTGTGTCAATGCTGAGGGGAGTATATTTTTTGGACCAGTCTAGTTTAGCCTCTGTGGACTTCAGAAGGCACTCGTCAAATGAGGCTAGTGCCGGCTAACGCAGGCGCAAATGCGGTTTTTTCACATTTTCCTTTCCCTGCGGCCATTTAGAAAAAGCCCATAGAAGCCAAAAGTGGTGGCACATTATGTGTGAACAGCGGAGATAGGTGTGACTATATGTTCGTTATGATTTACTGTCTAAGGCTTGAACTGATTGATTCTCTGATCTGTGTTGGCAAATTTAACTACTGTTGTGATTTAGGACTATACAAGAAAGAAGAAATACAATCCACTTCAATTATTTCTTTATTTACATATATTTAAAAACAGCTCTAAAAAATGGCCATGTGGCTGTAGTATTGCGAGCATTACATTAACAGGGAGACTTGTAGCTGCTGCCCCTAAGATCATGAACCCTATCAGTCCAGCTCTGTATGTTCTTGAATGTGCATTGGTCCAGTGCATTTAAACAATGAGGAAAACCTGGACTGTTTGTTAAATTCAATGAATAATTTTAAAAAGCCCTTAATTCAGCATTTCATTATTGGCTTGCAGTGCATTGGAATGTAGCCCATGCAAGTAATTTAAAACATTTATCCTCATATAACTCAGAGGAAGTAATTTACTAAAAGGTGCACAATTTGACTGGGTAACATGGTGGTTGTTGGGGTTTTGTGAGGATTTCATCCATTTCACCTGAGAGTAAATGAGTTACCTCAATCCAGATAAAGCCAGTGTAGTGTGCCTTCCAGGAATGTCCGAATGACCAGAGGGCCTAAATATATGACAGTCAGTCAAGAAAAACTGGTTTGACTGTGTGTGGAAATACAAGAATATATGCAAGTTTCCCACAGGGGTGAGATTTGGCCTGCTAACCTTTTCAGGAGAGCCACCCAAAGGATTCTCAATTATTACTATTACATCACAAGCATTGATGACGATTAAAGCTAATTTTCTCTAATTTTATTTTTGTATTGTAAACTGTGTACCCAAAATGCAATGAGAAAGGGGTAAAAATCTCTGTACCTTTGCTCCTGTTTATGCTCAATCCAAACAGAACCGAAGTAAGTAATTAGTAAGTAAAGCGCTTTACAATGTTCAGAGTTCAGATATTGTACCAATCATTCCACACACCGTGATGACGGAAGCGAGTCGCCGAACACACTGGCGCATCAGTCCCCAATCAACACCATCCATTCACTCTCTCATTTACATTCTGAAGAAAATAAAAAAAGAAGAAAAGAAAACCCAACGAGTTAAATGAATGATCCTTAGTCAGAATAACTCCATAATGAAATATAAATGAAAATGACCACAGATGTAAACTTTAAGCATTAGCCCCCTTTCAGTTTAACATTCAAACAAAAACGTGAGAAAATGTGGATCCCGCTTCTGCCTCTGCTTCTGCATATTCATTTTGGGCCCTTGTAAGTTAAACTCTGGTTCACTGCATTCATTCTATTATTGTTTTTTTCTTAGAATGTTCCACTGAATCAGCTTTAAATTTTTTTATTGCTAGAACAGTATTTAAATGCATTCATGCATGCTCACATCTCCTGTAACTCAGCTTGCATGGTAATGTCATCAACTATGATTATATTCACGCATATGTAGACTTTACTATCCACACACACTTCCTCCCGAAGCCTTCCCAGGCCAGCTGAGAGACTTTGTCCCGCCAGAGTGTCCTGGGCCTTCCTCAGGATCTCCTCCAGGTGGGGACATGCCCTTATTTGTATATTCAATGAGTCATGACTAAAGGCTTTAGGCATGTTCACTTTAATCCAAGATAATTGCCAATTACTTAAAACTTGAGATAAATACAATTAACGACTGGGTCTACAGGCATTCATTCAACGGTTTATTAACCTTACAAGACAATATGGTCTGGTAAGGTCATATTGTCTATGACCTTACCCGAGAGAATAACTAGAACGCAAATTATAACATATTTCAGATGATAACAAGGGGAGGTCCTGGAATATAAACTCTTTACTGGTTTATCAGGTAAACAAGGAGGGTCCTGAACTGTCACCCTCTGCAGGACACTCTGTCTGCTCTGGAGAGCAGCTTCAGCAACATACTGCTCCACCCTCACTATGTGAAGAAGAGATTTTGCAGGTCTTTCCTCCCTGCTGCTGTCATACTGTACAATGAACAATACAGACGGATGAACTCTGCTGACCTAGAATGTTGTGCATCTGTGCAATAATGTCAGAATGTGCAATATGGGACCACGTGTGTCCACTGTCACTTTAATGAAGTCACTTTTAGCCTAGAACCTCATGCATACAGTAGATACATCATTGTGAACACCCCTCAGAGCTATTGACCCATTACCCAGATATTCTTGTAGTGTACGTATATGTGTGCGTATATATGTTCTTCCAGTAGAGTATACAGTATTTTATCTTGCTTCTTTATGAAGCTAAAATGGGTTTTATTTTTTGAATTATAGGATTGTGGTGAGTGAGGGGATGGTGCTGTGTGTACTGGGTGGCATCTCTGACCACCTCAGAAATGGAAATGGAATGAGGGGAAGAATATGGATGGATGGATTGTGCTATACTCAAAGGTATACAGGACACTTTTCTACTTCCAGGTGGATTATCAAGACTATTGGTCCCCCCAATTGTCAATCACCCGGTAATACATGCTCATTCAATAAGACCAGAGAGTTTTATTTAAAAAATTGAGAGGGCGGTTCTTTCCTAACATTTGGGGGAAACCCAATACCTTTAATATTCACTTATCTTATTTTCTGTGCTCCTCTGTAACCTGTGATGCAACACTGAAATTTCCCATTGTGGGACAACTAATCCTAATCTTAATCTCAAAGTCCTCGCAGCTGTCAGAGAGGGACTCCTCGCGCTGTCACGTCACGCAGGCCCCGCCTCCTCAGCCCCAGCGCTCACATGGTGCTCGCTGATTGGCTACCACGCGCTGTCTGTCACGCCCCTCTCCGCGGTTTCCTGTGTGTGTGTGCCGTGGACGCGTCTGTCTGTGGAGTGGCTTCGTTATGGACAGCTGCTCCACTCTGCAACTTTTTACCGGAGATCTCACTTAGCTCACGCCTTCTCTACCGGGGGATGGATTTGTAAAACTGGAACTCGACCAAAGCCTGAGCGCGTACAAGCTGTTGAATTATATATTTTTTGTTTGAGTTTGTTGAAGGAAGAGGAGGGAAAAATGCCAGTAGCAACCCTTCTACCTTTCACCGCGACTCCTAATAGGAAGTCTGCCAGCCCGACCTCGTTTAGATTAACAGAGAAATTTATTTTACTTTTAGTCTTTAGCGCTTTCATCACCTTATGTTTCGGGGCTATCTTCTTCCTCCCCGACTCGTCAAAGCTGCTTAGCGGAGTTTTCTTTCATTCCTCCGCCGTGGAGACCAACACTCGCACGAACCCGGACAGCAATGACTCTGGATCGGCTGCGAATGACGAGAAAGTCCTGGCCAAAATCCGGAAAGACCACGAGAAAGCCCTGTTGGAGGCGAAGGATACGCTACAGAAACGCGCCGAGGAGATAAAGCAGGACATTTTACTGGAGAAGGAGAAAGTTGCGAAGGGTATCGGGGGTCTGGGGGGTAAGGATGTGAATCATTTACCTATGGTCGAGTACCAGAGACCACCTGGAGCTACGGGACATGAACCTTCGGACCCAGAGACGAAGCAGAGGCGAACCAAGATTAAAGAGGTACGTGTCCAAAATAGGGATCGCGCTGTCCTGTCACCAGACCTGCCTGAAAATTACTCATATCTCAAAGTTCATGTCGCTTTTAAGTATCTTTCTGAACGCATGACGCCGCAATGTTGATTGGGTTGTTAAACTTTCATGGCTAAGCTGTACATCGGCTTGGTTTGTATCAGTTATACATGTATAAACAGCTTCATATTGCCTATCCTCCTGTGCGTTTGTGGAAATCAGTCCAAAATAAAAATCACCCAGCAGCGTTACATCAAGCATTGCCTACGTGGTATAATTCATTTGCCCCGCGTGTTGCAGTAAGTAAGCTATAAAAGGCTGTTTAGCTCAGCTTATTAAAGGGGTTAAAGGCTGCAGAAAACTATTGCAACATAAACTAAAATAAGGAATTCATACGGGATCCACGATCGCCCCCTCCGGGCTGGACTACCTGTCTGACAAGTTTCCCATATGTTCAAAGCATATGTTCAAATGTCATAGAGTTAAAACAATGTATTCAATGTATAACTTGAAATAATCACATGATGTTGGAATGCCAGATACAGTGAATATAAGTTGATATATTGTGTTAGTAAATGTACCTTAATAGATTAGGTATACACCAAAATGTATCGAAGAGGACATCTAAAACCCATGATAACTGTATGCCACAATATTTTGTGTGTTCTACTTCATTCAATTGGCCTAGGGGCAGCTGTAGCTACATTTCTGTACCTCTCCACCACCGTCACAGTGGTATTAGTGCCATCGTACTGATAGTGAAAAGCTTTCTTAAAGGAATAGTTCACCGTTTTTACATACTGACATATGTTCTTACCTTACCTTAGACTAGTTAATACGTACCTGTCTGGTCTTAGTCCGTGCGCTCTGTCATGCAAACGGAGCAAAAACGGGAGAACAACCGCAGCCTCCTCTGTATATTTTGTAGCACCAAAAGGTAGCTCCCGCTAGAAGCTACCAAACTCTTCCAAGTGTTCCCTATTAAATGTATATAGTTACGTGACGTGTTACACTGCAAAGTATAGTAACACAGAAATGTAACAGTCGATTTTCTCAGCGGATAAAACGGGTACTATATTGTGAGGCGTAGTAATCTGAGGGGCGCTACGTCCGCGCACTAACTTCTCTCCGGAGACTTCTCTCTCGCTCACTTCCGTCAATAGAAGCAGCGTGACTTGTAATACACACAGTAGCAGCGAGAGAGAAGTCTCCGGAGAGAAGTTAGTGCGCAGAGAAGTTAGGAGCGCTACGTCCGCGCACTAACTTCTCTCCGGAGACTTCTCTCTCGCTGCTACTGTGTGTATTACAAGTCACGCTGCTTCTATTGACGGAAGTGAGCGAGAGAGAAGTCTCCGGAGAGAAGTTAGTGCGCGGACGTAGCGCCCCTCAGATTACTACGCCAAAAATATACAGAGGAGGCTGCGGTTGTGCTCCCGTTTTTGCTCCGTTTGCATGACAGAGCGCACGGACTAAGACCAGACAGGTATGTATTAACTAGTCTAAGGTAAGGTAAGAACATATGTCAGTATGTAAAAACGGTGAACTATTCCTTTAAAGAGTAAACTCAAGGCTTTGATTTGTCTTTGTTTCATTTTAAATTTTGCTCTATTAATGATTGTCCTTCTGTTCTTCAATATTCAGTTATGGTGCAGTAGTTTGGTCGTCGCATAAGACTTATTTTCTGTATCGTTAAATGTTATTGTTAAGAATACTGAATGTTTGATTGAAGCACAGTTTGTCTGAGTGTTTCGATTGACCTTTGGTTCTTTCATTAAGCGTGCCGCTGCTTGAAGTATAACATTTCCTGATGTGATTGTGTCAATGTGTTAAAAATTGAAAACCCTTAAAAAATCTCATATATGACCTGGATTTAATCAACTGTTCAGGGCCAGTTTTATTTTTGATGATTGAAAACTCTACTCAAGCCTAATAAAAATGAATCAAGTAAAGGTCGTAACCACAGTGATTGACCAGCTTGACGTTTGCAGTAATTTTGAACAATAATTGTGGGTAATCACCTCCCACAGGGTTTTTAATAGACTTTTGAAAATGATCAATAAGGCTGTCACTGTTAATCTTGAAGGAGAATTATGTTGTCAATTATTCAACGTTCTGCCGCTAAAATATGAAGAAAAAAACCCAAAACATTTTAATTACTGTAAATATAATGTTCTTAATCCCCAGATATATTGTTTGGGATTTCATTTAGTGAGACTGTAAATGGTTAATACTGTGAAAAAAGCGCCTGGTCTTTAAACTAATTCAGTTACAAGTTTAGTTAGTACAGCCCTAAATCACAACAGCAGTCGTCTCGCAGGACTTTGGAAAGTTGTAGATTCCTCAACAGCAGATAAAAGAATGCCCTTAGACCCTCCTGTGACACAACAGACATTATGTTTATGAATGGGGCTCTGTCCTCTTGTTTTGATTTTTGGAAAAACCCTGGATCGTTCTCCAACTATATACAATATCACTATGCAAGGCAATTAAAAATTCTATTTCGTCACAGCTCACTTGTCTGTTGGTATAAAAATATTTATAATTAGTTGTGCTTGAAAATACTGAGCCAGTAGGCCCATAATACGGGTTAAAAGTGAATTGCACATGAGCTGATGTTTGCATTTGGAATCTTGGAGCTGTGGGTTTCAAAGTTATATCAGCCTTTTCTTCCCCTATACAGAAGAAATTTGAATATTTTATTTATGTAGTTTGCATAATTTATGAGAGCTTTGCCATGGAGCAGTCTCTTGCTAGTTTTTGTACCAATATCTGTATCTTACTATTTTTGCTTGACTTTTTGTGTTTTGCTGTTATGTTTTGTCCAGTGCCATATTGGCTGTATTGTCATTGTTGACTTGAACTTCAAAAATAAATCCAGTAAAGGTCGTAACTCCTGGGAAGAAAAAACGTGAGTGGTTATCACTCTCGCTTCTCGCAAGAAGGTCCTGGGTTTGATTCCACCTCCAGACCGGGACTTTTTGAGCGGCGTTTGCGTGTTCTCCCTTTGTCAGCGTAGGATTCCTCCGGGTGCTTCGGTGTCCCTACTACAAACATGTATAATAGCTCTTCTCTCTCTGGGGCCAGTAATCCACTGGACAATAGATTCTGCTTCACTTTTCTGTGTGGTTCAGGTTAGAGCTGAATGAGCAGGGGAAACAGAGCTATTATTCTCTCTATATTGAAGATCATTTATTTGTACAGCCTCAGTCGTTGTTATACAGCTGCAGCCCTGGTTCTCCATCCGTTTGTCTGTGGGAATGGATCCCTCTCTCAATATGGGTCTCACGGAGGTTTCTCACATTTCCCGTTACAGGAGAGTCTAAAGAATGTGATGATTTGGGGCATTTGGGACATATAGGAGCATTGGTAATCCTGCTCCCGATTGACCAATCGCTCCTATGTGTTTGTTATAAATGCATCTCCTGTGTGATTCTCTGCTCTGTTGTTGGCGAATCAACAAGTTTGTAAAGTCCTCCGAGATGACGGCTGTTGTGCTTCAGGGCTATAGAAATGCAGGATATATTGATCAATATTGATTAAAAAAAAAGCAAAAACCTGTCTAATCTCTTTAGCCTCTCGCTTGAAACGTAATCGACCAAAGTTGAGACTGTGATCCATAGTTTGTTGAACGTTTGGCACATTTCATGTGTAAGTTGTATGGTTATATGGTGACATTATTGTGAAATGAGCGGGATTACACTTTCCTAAACGCCACATCAGCCTGAAACCTCTCTCTCATAACAGCTCTCGTTTGCGTTTATGGAGCTCCTGATTATTTTAGTGATTTTCTGTTCCCTGAACACAATGTTGATGATAATAACAGGTAATATTCAATCCATTTAAAGCTATATTTTTGCATGGCACAGACGATCCGCTCTGATAAGAGACTGTCCCAGCACAAAGGAAAGTGGATGGATGTGTTAATTTGTCAGAGGAAATGTGGTTGACAGTTTGTTGTTCACTCAGCCTCAAGATAAGCGGCTGATGTGATTTTTATGTGTCTTTGGTGTTGGCTAATGTCTTCATTTGGATGCTCTTTGCAAAACAAACTTTCTCTCGCTGAGCTGGCAATTATGTAAGACTCAACACAGCGCAATGATGCTTTCAGGAATCATTGGAAAGAAAAGAAAAGTCAGCAACATGTCGGCAGCAAGTAATGTTTGAGGTTTGTTTGTTTTGCTTTTTTATCTGAGAAAATCAGGCGTGGTTTTTTTCCTTTTTTATAACGTTTTTGTGTCTATGCCTTGAAGATAAGATAAGATATGCTTTATTTATCTCACAAAGGAGAAATTTACATGTCACATTTGGCATGGATAGAACACTCAGATTGTGCAAAAAGACGAAATGTGCAAACATGTTAAATGCAGGATATATTATGTACAATAAAAATGTCAATTTAAAAGTGGCAATCTGAAACAGTGTCAATAGTGCAGGTTTTTTCAGTCTTAATACAGTGACTTAAAGTGACTTGTTGTACAGTCTGACAGCGGTGGGGATAAAGGTCCTGCGGTAGCGCTCCTTCTTACACTGGATCTGAAAAGGATCATTATAATCATACAAAATCAGGAAAACAATATCCACACCAGGCATGCTCAATTTAGGGACTGAGGGCCTTTTTTGGCCTAATGTGTCATGTTATGGGGCCCTCTGGCTGCAGTGTTCAGTGACATCCAGCCAACTTCAGCTCCACCAATATATTCGTGCTATTGACTTTTTTGTTAAGCTCAGAACCTCTAGAAAACAATTTATTCGTATATACTGATGTTTGTTTTTTATTGTCACAAAATTCTGTATATATGGCGCTGATGTAATTGGCCAAAGTAAATATTTTTCATTTGTCAATTTCACCTCTCACAATTGTACATCATTCATACCTAATTTTCCTGTTACCATCACAAATGTCTCATGTGTTTGTTATTGCATTTCCTATGTTCAAACTGAACTCTGATCTGTTGTTGAGACTTTGGCCTTTGCGTCGACGGCTGTTGTGA